ACCGCCGGGCTGAGCCGGGCCGGGCCCCGGCGGGGCGGTCCGTGGGCGCCGGGCGAAGCGGCGTGAGCAGGGCTGTGGGGCTCGGGCGCTGCCGTGTTGCCGGTAGCCTGGCGGGGAGCCGGCCACCCCGCAGTGGCCCTGCGAGCGGCCGTGGGGCTCTGGTCGGTGCGTCGGCCTTGTGCCGGCTTACACCGAGCCCTGAAGAGGCCCGGGGGGTGGTTCTCCCCCCTCCCGGCGCTGCTGCGGCCGTGGGTGGGCAGCGTTGCTGAAACATAAAGCTGATTTCCTTTTTCCAAAAGGAAGAAGTTTTGGTATAACAGCCCTACCCTGGGATCTAAAATGGTAAGTGCAAGCTTTCAGAGTGCTGTGTTTATCTGTGCCAGGAGGAACAAGCTTGTGCTTCTGACGTCGTGTCTGACTTTGGGAAAAGCATTTTCTGGTGGAGAAATAGCAGAATTTTGTGAATGAACGCTAGGGCTCGAGTTTCACTGTGACATGCCAGGGTTGCTGTCGAGAGAAGCCATCTGGCTCCCCGTGGCCGTTTCCTCTTCTGTGCCGATCTTTCATCTGCGCCAGCACCGACGTGCTCTTGCATACTCTTGAACCTATAGCGGAGAACTGGTCCAGATTAAAACTGTTGTGTACCAGCTTAGTTTTATGGAAAATTAAGTTTTTGTTTGTTTTTCAAACAAGCAATGCCTTTCAGTTAATACGTGCTGTATTTTAGAAAACTGATTTATTGAGCTGTGTAACTTGCTACAGAATATTAACCTAAGAAACCTTGACTATAATACATTGAAAGTCAAAGAGACTGCAGGCAGAGGTATTCTTTATTGAAACACGTGATACATAAAACCTATATAAAGCCGTCACAGCTGCAATAATGACATTGTGAGAGTGTACTTAGAGTGCACAAGATTCTCTGTAATTGCTTAATACAAGTTTGTAACTACTGATTAATGTGTGGTGGGTTTTTTTTTTCTTTTGTTTTTTAAGATGTATAAACCAACCCAGTTGACCTCTATAATAAAAGATGACCAGACAAAAACTAGGAAAGAAGATAACATACGCCTCAGAGTTTTGAATAATCTTATTCATAAAGCTGTGACAGAGATGATGAGGACCAGTGAAGTTAATCAAGAACTTTATGATCTCAAGCTGGAAATCTGCAAGGCAAGTGCCAAAGCTGCAGCCTGTGTTGAGCTGCTCTGACTGCACCACTGGGTGTTGTGTGCAGGAGGAGTTTTACGGCATTGCTTTTGATGCGACAGAGCACAGCAAGATGAGCCTCTGGATTCACCTTGCATACTAGGAGAACTTTGCCACTGTTGTACCTGGCTCAGTAGACCTTTGCCACTAGAATGGAAATGCAACTTAGGCCAACTAAATGGTGATTCTCCTGGTATGACTTTTGTTTTCTGTTACTCAGACATGTACTATTTGCCTTGCCCTTTCAGAAGGAGGAGCCTGGTTTTACCAATGTAAGTGTTACCTTTCCAGGAGTCTTTTCTTTGTGCAGTTGTCTGAGAGTTGATAGCTCCTTGTGTCCCTCAGCAGCATCATTACACAGGCAGAAGACCTAAGTGGGGCATGAGCTTAGTTCAACAAAAAAAAGCCCTTAGAAAATGGCATTGGCCAGCAAGGTTCCAGAAAGAATTGAAATTTGTACCTAATCATAGCTAATGTTGTCATAATTTATGGGTTTGAAAGGGATGTTAAAGCTCTGATTCAGGAACTGTCAGTCTCCACATTCTTGTTTCTTGTCTGTAGTTTTTTCTTTTACATTTGCTGTTTTGTAAAGATTAACTGTTAGCAATATGTGGGTTAAAAGCTTGGTGGACTTAGCTTTGTTAAAGCATGGAAAAAAATTGCACCTCACAGCTGCATATATGACAAGGGGTTTGTCATTTATAATTGAAACATGTTTTTGTCAGCTGAGTTCATTCTGTCTTCAGGCAGGCTATTAAAATTACATGGGCAAGAGGAATCTTGGCTCTATATGTGCTGTATCCTTCATTACAGTATTTCTCTCTCTAAGTCTTTGAGTATTGCTTTTCTAGCTCAGGTGGCGTGTCAGAAATATAGGCTGGTGTAGGCAAGCCACAGCATTGTCAGGAGGCATTGCTGTAAAGGAAACAAAACTAGAGAGAAAGGAACAGCCTTTTTCAAAATACAGTGCAGATTTTGTTACAACTGTGTAGTTCTTAGTGTTGGTGCTGCCCTGGGAAGTGGCTGAGACTTAGTCCTGATTTACTTGTGAGCTGATTCGGGTCTGATATCGTTACTGCTGTTATCAACAGAAATCTAGGCTTTCTGCAATCCATCAGAACTTGTTTTTTTGGTATCAGAAGTTAAAATTACATAATAGTAATACAGATAAAAATCGTGCTTCAGGCCTGATACATCAGACTTCTATCTGCTCAGTGACATGGCTTGTGTTACATAGGGTTGGTTATGCACCTAAACCACAAGAAATGGGTTGTGTTCAGTAGGGTTTTTATGCACTTACATTGGACTCAGTGTGGTAGGGTTGATCCTGCAGTGGAAACAGCCAGTTAATGATCACAGTGGGGTTTTTTTAATGGGTGGTGGGTCTCCCAAGGGAGGAGTTATTTGGTGGCGGAAGAGATGAGTATCTACTTTGTTTTTTGGGGACAGCCCATTTTGCCCTAGGAAAGAGTATCACTGTCGACAACAGGCTGTGATGCAGTTTTTGCTCCTGGGAATACTCTGATGGAGTTGTCTTTTCCTGTTGGTGTGAGTAGACACCTGTTTGTTTGAAGAGTTAGTTTCTGGACTAAATGACCTCTGAACTGTGCCTTCCAATGGGTAGTTTATGCTTTCTCCTCCCTCTTCCTCGGCTTCTTCCTTCAATTGAGGCAGGTAGATTGTTAGAGGTTTGCTGAGCATACTCTCATAGTGAGGACTTGTTCTATAAGACACCGTTAGATGCAATGAATGACAGTTGTAGAAATCTTTCAGAATGCAATTTGTGTTTCAGTTTATTCTTCGGGAAGATTGTCACTCTATCTGATGTCTCGGCCCCTGCACACCATGCATTTTCAGTTGCATGTGTGACAACTTTAATATTACCTGTTAGTGAGGTAGAGGTTCAGGCACTGGAGGTTCCAAGCTGGAGAGGCTCTTGCATTACAGTGGTGTGGAGGGCCTCCTCTTTTCTGCCACTATCAAAACCAAACTCTATGTGACAGCAAACTAGGGAGTCTCACAGGTCCTTCTTTAGCGGAAACTTCCACTTTGAACTGTATCCCAAACCAGCATGCTATAAATTGTCATTCTGGACTATTTGTGATGGTAGCACCTTGGCATTGACTAAATGTAGCACTGTCGGTAACATCTAACATACAGATGTTGACAAACCTCTCTGTTTAATTTCAGTTGAAGAGGAGATTAGGCAGTGACTTGCCTCAATAAAAAAAAGTCCTTTCATGTACTGAATGTAAATCTTATTTGGTCTTAAACTCTACATCTACAAAAGCACCATGTAATTATGGGTCTTAAGAGCAGAGATGGAAGAAGAGATTCTCCTAAGAATTTACATATCCAGTTTGGGTCACTTTATGCTTATTCATGAATTAGAGACTTTGTTGTATATGGTGTATGTGTGTATATGTATAATTTTGAAGAAACATTTGTCTTTTGCAGGTGTCCCTGGCCTCAAACTTTTCAGCATGTCGTTTGTACTGGAATCCTTCTGCTACTATGGAGAAACAAAGTTATGTTGAAAGTGTACTAAAGAGGAGTGCTCCACGAATACGGTACTGCTATAGGATAAACAGACCACTTCATAAACTCATAGCCATGTACTAATACCATTTCTTAAGTATATTTGACTATCTGACTGTTAGAATGCTTTAGGTTTCTAGGTATTTAGAGTCAGAGTATCTCCTGTGATGAGTCTCTCAGGGAAGGATGGCTGGGTCAGACGAGCTGTGTATTCTCCTGCTGGGGCACAGCTTGTGCTTTCCTAGGATTGGACTGGGTTGAGCAGAAAGGAAGAGGAGTCTGGATGAAGTTTCACTTCATTATACTGGTGATGGTGGGCTGGACATGCTGTGCACCACAGTAGGCCAGAATATGATGCTGCACCAGAGGACTGGCAATTACAAAAAGTTACCTCCTTACAGATTCACTATGAAATTTGGATTGCTAAGGACTATTTAGACTTCCAGAAGGGATGACTTGATACTATAGAAATTCTTCACAATACTGATATAAAAAAAAAAAATCTTGGATGCTACCTTGTATTGTGAAGCTTTTACCCATTTTTGTCAGGGGGTCCAGTTAGTTTTCAGGATATCATAGAGATTATTTTCCTTGGTGTACCCTCTGCTATCCAGCTACTCTATTGGAGGATCAGAACTTCACCCCATTGGGAAGGTGGCATTGAAGCATACTTGTAAGGCCATCTCTTTTCCTTGTTTCTCTAGGCTGTGTAATTCCTGCTGCAGCACAGTGCGCTCTCTTCTACTCCCAACAGCTTCCACTCTGGGAAGGAATGTTGCTGGCTGGGAAGAAGACGAGGGGACCCTTGCCAGTCCTTCTTGCAGCTAGCATGTAGGACTTGTCTTGCCCTGCTACGAGGGCTCTGTCCTCCACTGCTCTCACCCCTACAGTGGGGGTAAGGAAGCAAAATGAAGTGGGGAAAGACCTGTGCCAGGCTGTGCATATTATAGGAGACAAATCTAGTATCATCAATACTTAGTGAGATCTGCAGCTAGTAGTAGTTTTTGTATGTTACATGTTCAGAGTTGGGATTCTGCAGTGTTGTATTGCTTAGCACTAACATGAATGGATATGCATCAGACTTTGCAAGCCATATCCTTAAATTTGCAGTACTGCTGGAATTAATTTAACATTTTTTATCTGTCCTGGAGGTGCTGTACTGTTGCTTACACTGGTGAATGCTTTATTTTTGCCAGGTATCTTCTGATGAGTCAGCAGATTGTAGGAAATGTACCCCCGGTACTATTTGTAAAAGATAAAGAAACTGCAGCTGTAAAAGAGGTAATTGTAATCTTTGACTCAATGTACAAATATAATGATATGCAAAAATCATGAGTTAGCATACCATAATGCTTAGGAATACAGAGAGAGCTGATCATTCAGTTGCCAATCTACATTAAAAATCAGTCTTTGTCTATAGCATTTCCTCTTCATGTTCCAAAGCATTTTAGCAAAGAATCTTGAGTAAGACTGATGCTTACTTGTAAGCATCCTTGTAGCTGTCACTCCATGAAAATGAAATTAAAATTTTAAGTAAAAATACAGGGTAGGCGGTTGTCTGTTGCCTATACTAGATTATAGAAATGAGGTCTGAGGAGCTGTCATCAGCATTTTAAATGTTATGTATTTTTAGAATTCCATTGAATCTAATCAGTGATTTTTAATTTTTTTTACCCCAACCTTTTTCCATCTGTGTATTGTTAAAATATTTCTAGAGAAGTGCAGATCTTTGCATAGAGGATGTAAAATCACTCATACTACGGGACTTTTTCACTTCAAAAAGTATCCTTACTATTTCACATATTCTGCCAAGGTGTTGATAGTTTTTAGTTGAAATACTGCTAGAATACTGATGTTTTGTAGGAATTTGCTGTCATTAGGCCTCTGAAGTGAGATCTCTTAAATACTGAGATTTCCAGAAGAGAAAGATGACACCAATGAATGGAATTTAATTAAATATTGCCTCAAGTTGTTGATGTGAATGGAAAGACCACTGGCTGAAGAGAGCATGTTCAAATTTCTGTGCCCTGAATTTCCTTATTCTTAGATGTGTTACTGTTACCACCAATTACTATTAGTGACTTACAGCCTCGTGCAGTGTGTGTTAGCAGAGCTGGAACGGATAACAAGAACTTCTGAATCTCTAGAAATGTAGTGAAGTGCTTGAACTTCCGTGGTCAGAAAAATTCTTGAGTTTGATGCCACTGTACTGATCTGCAGTGCAAATGCTTTTCACCTGCATTAGCATCAACTAAAAGCACAAGAATAGAAATGAACTAAAAGCTTCTGAAAGCTGTTTATATTCTTTATTATGTTCCCCCTAGTCAACACAAGAAACTCTACACAAAAAGTAACAAGTGATTATGGAAGCACTTTGTCATTACTATTACTCTATTATTAACATACCTAGATGGAGCTACAAATATCTACTCCTGCAGGTCCTGCCTTTCAGGTCAGTTATTGTGGAACCTGTTCCATTATGTTAAATGACCACTTCTCTTTGAGGAAGGGAACCTCTGGTCTGCCTTTCCTTCAAGTTCAGTGCATAGGCACCAAGAAAGTTAATGACACAAGACAAGTAAAAACCCTCCTTGTATAGCTTCTGTCAGTGAATAGCACTTGGAAGCACTTACACTGATCATCTTTTTACACTTTGCAAATCATCAGATTTATGTAATACGCAGATGTGAGTAACAGGGCTTGAAATACTGTAGCTGAAACTGTTTAAGTATTGGAAGACAAGGAAGGACCATCCAATACAACTTGTAGAATAATACTCTGAATTAAAAGGGAAATAATGTAGAGAAAAGTAGGAATAAAAATTTCAAATGAGATAAATTTTTCACAATTAGGTACAGTCCATGAACACTGAATATACTAGATTTGTAGCATTTACTGGCTAGGTATCATGTTAAAAGAGAGTCGGGAACTTGATATTTATGTATAATAGAAATGAAAGCTTGCAGAAAGGGGGAAGAAGTGAAAAAAAAAAAATCTCAGTGTGAGGATGTTATGGGAGAGGATTTGCAAGACTGAAGTAAGACCAAATAAAAGTTACATGTGTCACACAATCCCTAGCCAACTGTTCAGAATGAACATAAGGCAAAAAAACTTTGTAGGAATCCCTGGCTCAGTCATGATATTTGACACAAATTTCCCAGGCAAGAAGTATAAGCAGTTCCATGTGTATGGAGGAAAAGGCTATTTTTAAATGGTTTTGTTAAATATTCCAAACATGTAGAAAAGAAAATATTTATTGTTAGATACTCATCTGTTTCTTTTGTAGGTGTGAGCAAAGTAAATTTAATACAGGACCTTTAATAGGTATTGTGTTCATGTGTTTACAGATTGAGGAATTGTTGTCAGTTGCTGATTTTGGACCTCCAGAAGAAGAAGAAACATCTCAAAATCATTCCAGGTGGGGTTTTTGAATCAGAATTGTACAAGTGTCCTTTTTCACCTCTACTGGCCAATTTAAATTGGGTATTATTTGACATGACAGAAAGTGTATTTCAATTAGATGAGTGTATTTTAATTAGATGCGTACAATGTTGTTATCTCAGAGTTCAGCAAACGGTTTTATGAGGAAGTAGAATGTAGAAGAGAGAGACTTTTTGGAAGACCTTACCGAAAAGGTGTCTCAGCTTTTGAAGGAATCAGTTGGGCCCATTTATTAACAGAAGAGGCTACAGAATAGCCTGGGACAAAACTAATATGTAATCATCCCAGAAATTAAATATAGGGCATAGCATTTTATTTTGTGGTTTAAGCTTTCTTTACTGCAGTTAAACTGATTTATTAAAATTAAGGGAAAATATTTCTTATATATGCTCCGGTTTACATTCATATTTTGGTTTACATTCATATTTTAGTGCAGAGACATTTTCATAGGCTATTTTGTGGGTGGTTCTTGTGCACAGGTACCTTGCTGCAGACCACAGGTTTGCAAATATGGAAAGGGAAAGTCTATTTTTTATATATAAAAAATAACCTCTGTTAAGCTGTGGAGAATGACTGAATTGTCACTTGTGACAGCATAGTGTATATACTCTCAAGAGTCAGCTAAACCCTAAGGTGACACCAGAACAGTCTTAGAAGTCAGCTGTGTTTGATGTCTATACTCTGAGTGACATAGTCATCAGACTTCTTACTTGCAGATCCACTGCTTTTTCTTAGTATCTTTATTTTCTGTAGGGAAATATTTTTAGAATTTCTAAGAATTTAAGACTCAATGTGTTTGTGATAATTCAATTTAAAAGATGATTTACAGCAGTAGTATTTGTTTCTTGCTGATAATTTTCTTATGAGGATAAAAGCTCTATATTTACTAGTACTCCTCTACTTGGCCACTTTTTTTCTGGTATAAATTTGGTTTGTTCTACATGAGTTACAAGTTAACAAAAAATTAGTTAATTTGGAGCATTCTTCTGTAGGGATTTTTGGCTGTTGAGGGATATAGATGAACAATCTATTGAAACAGTGATTCTCTGGACTGGATGCTCTCAAAGCTAACAGCCTTGCCCTTGTGTGCTGCAATCTGTTGGTGGAAATGCCTTTTGTGCCTTAATGTTTGGGGATGGTTCATCAGGTGAAAATCAGAAATAGCTTCTTGGGGGAAATCATTGTTGTGACAGACTTTACTATGGGGCACCTAACACCTTCCTCTATTTGTGTTTTGTGTAAATACTTAAGTCCAGCTTAAGGTGCCATATGTTGCCATTCATACATCTGACGTGTTTTGGGCACCAACTGCTGCTTCTCTCTTCTTGGCAGAGCTGGGAGAAGCCTAACTTCCTTGGAGCTCCCAGGTCCAGTGCTCACTCTGTTACCTATGCATACCTTTCCCCAGAAACAAGTGGTTTAATCTTTAAAGTAGTTGCTTTATTGGCTTCCTCCCATTAAATCTGTTGACACGCTGACAGGCTTATAGACAGTCTGTCCTTGGACACATAGTATGGTAGTCTCTCTTCCTTAACATGGGAGCACAGTGCTGAACATAGTGCGTTAATAAAGTCAAACTGAAAACTCCTGTTTATTTCTGTATTACTCAATAACAATTACAATTAACAGTGACCCTTAAAATATACATGGAGCAAACCCCTCACATTTGTTTTCCTTTCCACAGTGAAGTGTTGTCTTCAGCAACTCAATCTCCAGAGTCACCCATGCGGTCTAATCTTTTTGGTATTGATCATGAACTGCTGAATAAGCAGATAATGGACTACAAAAGATCGAAAGTGTCAAGAGATAGAGAAAGCATTCCCTGGACAGAAGAGCAAGAGGAGCAGCTGTCTAAGATTCAAAGGAAAGCTAAAAACAAGAAAACAAGGTATCCTCCTGATGATGACGACATTACACCACAGAAATACTTACTGCACAGATATGAAACTGATTACTCGGATGATAATGCTGAATCAGTCTTGGACTATGAGCTGGAGGATGAATTAGAGGAAGAGGTAAATGAATTGGAGGCGGATGATGGTAGAAGTCTAAGTCAGCCCACGGATAAACTGAAATGAAGTGAAAAAGCCACTCCCTTTAAAATGGAGGCTGCCAATAGCAAAAAAAAAAAAAAAGGACTGCCATAGGTACCGAAAGGTTTGTTTTGTACAGCCTGTTTACCACTTCATCTTTTCAGATAGGTTTTCCACACATGGCGGGGTTTGCTAGCACAAGATGTGTAAGAAAACCAAAAATGCTATTTGTAACATTCTGTTAAGCAGCTTTCAAGCTGCTACAGTTGTAGGACTTTCAACCAGAGAGCAGTTTTGTAATAACAAGATACATAGTGCAGCCCTGAGTTAAAACTCCTTGCAGTTCTGTTGATTATTTCCAGTAAAATAATAATCACAGAGTGATGGTGTCTGTTATTCTAAGGTCAGGAAGGAAGAGGGAAGCAAAATAATGACAGTAGTGTTCAAAGAGCAGCCTTCAGATCACGAAGACCAGGACAGAGTGTTCTCTAGAGGACCTAGTCTAATGGAGGAATCTCTTTCCACAGAAAGTGAAACTCATTGAAATGATGGCTGATAACGTTACAACCCTGAAAGAAAATTATTCATTTTAATATTCAGAAAATTATAGTTGTGCAAGGGGAACTGCAACCAGAAAAGAATGGAGAACAGCTCATCTGTTGGGTAAAATTGGGCAAAGCATTGACTGTGACTGAAAAACTGAATTAAAAAACTCAAAGTTGGCGAAAAAGCAGCAGGGAAGAATGCCTCAGTAACTGAGATTTGGAAATGGATGGAGAATCATAAAAAGTGCAAATAAAGGTTTCTAGCTCAAAGCAAGTAATAATAGCTTGAGTGTATAAAGTGAGAAGGGCTGAAGCCTCAAAATGTGACAACTAACAAGGTAGTAAAAAGAAATTCTAACAGAAATAAGGAACATAACATTTCATTAGTTAATGGGGAAGTAGAGAATGACAATACAGGGGAGGTTGTGCTACAGTATGCTGCTCTAGTTTTTCAGAAGGATTTAAAAGACAATAAGATCCAGAATGTAAAAAATAGTCTAAAGGATTTTTGAGGAGTTTAGGTCAGCAAAGAACACTGAAATTCACCACAGATTATTTAATACTCCCTTTGAAGCATATTTTGAAGATTGACTGCCTGGAAGAATATGGGGAGGATATGGGCTAGGAACGTCTATAGGATATTCCTATATTTGAATAAGGGTCAGGATCTTATAAATGTATGCATTACTTTTATTAGGATACATGTTGAAGCTGTAGCTCACATTAGTACTGGCCTAACTTGAAGTAGGTGAATAATCCCACAAATTTCAGTGTGGCTTGTTCAGGCTTTCTGGGAGTTCTTCCTGAATTCTGTGAGATGGACACACTTTGAGGTATATGCTTTAGTTTATTTTCCAGTGAATTAAGGTATTTATCATATCAGAAACTGTTCTTCTGCAGTATCACTGTCAATCAATGCTAACCTTAATCTCTTGCACCTTGGCCGCAAAGCTCTTAACTTTTTGAATGAATGTCAGGAACCTGCTAATTGGTACTTGCTAATTGAATCCACAGAATATTAATGTATCCATATTTAGTTTCTGCTCTATAAAACGTGAGACTGTCCTGACTACCTAAAGGTTAAAAAAGGGGGAAAAAACTCAACACTCAAGCAACCTACATATTAGACTTTTGAAAGAACAGAGAACAAAGTTGATTACTTCTGCTTCTTGCTTAGTTTGGACATCTATAAACTAGGTTTGCAGTTCATAGATTAGATTGCATCTAGAAACCATGAGAACCGCTCTCACTGTCAGCCTTAATACCCTTAATCCCTTGTTAAGCAAGTAAGGGCAGTTGAGCTCTTCTACTTGCCACAGCTAATGTCATAGAAACCAGACTTTGTTCAAGAAGAAAGATGGCCCAGCACTTACTCAGGGTGTCCAGGGGTGTGACAGCCACTCTGAACCTGGTGATGAGGAAAATGAAGCAAACGCAATCAGATTTAGAAGAGATGGAAATCTTAAAAATGACCAGGCAGGATGGCCTGGAAGGAAGAAACAACCCAGGGGATACCTGGAGAATGTCACCAGAGCAGGTGGATGGGAGCTGCTGCAACCCCGTCCCCAGCCTCCACTGCCTTCCCAGGGAAGCACAGTGGGAAGTTTTCTAGCAGTGTAATAGTAACACAACACTTTCGTAGCTGTAAAAGACAATGAATGAGTGTTACATTAACTATAATCTCTTGCAGAGTCCCTTGACTTAGTTTTTATGTATTATATAACCACATATGGGGAAGGATTTTGTGGGGCCTTCAGACCTGGTCCCCTACCTTTAATGGCAGTTACTTGCTGCAGCCCTGTATTCAGCTGTTAATCCTGGTTAGGAATACACAGCTGGGAGTGATAAATATTTAACACGGGCAGAATCAGACATGCAGCTGAATTTAAGTGATTGGTGCCCCTGTGAGCATGTGCTACACCACTCATGTTTGAAACAATATGATTAGTCAATAACAGTTTTAAAAAACACAGGAGCTTTCACTGTTTCCTGTGACTGTTCAAGCCAAATCTTCCCAGACTCTGGGACCCTGCAAGCATATTGTTCATATCTTAAGTCTCAGACTGAAAATAAAGAAAAGCCTGTTATCCCTCCAGTCTGGTTATTTTCCTCAAGACCTGGTCCTACAAGGTGCTAATTTTGAAGTGAAAACGGGGGCAACATAGTTCCTCTGTTTCATTTTAGCCAATCAGTTTGATTTCTCTGACCCCTCTTAAGACCTTGCCGTGAAAGCGTTTATGCATTTTGTGTCTTTCCAAAACAGAAGTGTCTCTCCAGCAGAACTGCCGAATAGCACTGCTGTGCTGCAGACAGGCTGACAGCCAAGTAGTTTACTAACCTTCACCAAAACATGTAACTCAAGGAGAGTGACAGTCCCCTTACGTGAGTCAGGAAAGCCACTGACAAAATGGCATCAATGCCAGGGAAATGAGAAGACCAAGATGTACATCTCACCAAAATCTTATCTTCTGTCCAAGGAATTACTTATTTGTCATGAAATGCAATCTACCCTTAAGCCTTGCTTGCATATGTGAAGCCAAGAAATGCAGAATAAAAGCTCAAAGGGAAAGAAATTGGTATACTGCCCAATATGTTGCCATTTTGTCCTATATCTAACTCTGCAAGAGGATGAGTGAAGACAAAAAGGTTTCGTTTTAAAGATTTCAAAGCTCTATAGAATGTGCCCTATCAAACAAAAAGAAAATCATTAACTAGGAATCAGTTGCTTGTATGTTTTTCTTGCATTCAATCACTGCTGATAACACATTGCTGCACTACACTAATTTGTACTTTAAAATCTACTACGGTGAAAGACCAGTCATTCTCATACCCTCCCTAACCAACAAAACATCCCGCTTCAAACTGTAAGAATAAAAATGCAGAAACGTTTGTCTATTGTGGTAATTCTGACCTTCTTTTGGTAGCATGTTCTTCAGGTAGTCCATCTTACCTGGTGGGCTTTTCTCAAAGTAACTGAAAAACAAATTCTAATGGAGAACACTTGTAGTTAATTTCAGTTGATCACTCTCTCTCTCCGGCTCCAAGAAATAGGTAAGGAAAGTAAGAGAGAGAAAACAAAGCCATGGGAACGGGCATAGTAAAATGGCAGTGCTACAGCAGATGTGTTGAGATCTGTGGTGTCTTGTAAAGGAGACAAGTTCTGAATCTGGGATCCATGGGCCAGTTTTCAGCAAGTTTCCTGGGACAACCTGGCATCATTTCAACTGATGAGTGTTTTATTCTGCAGGTTCAAGCAAAATTTGTAGCCTTTTGTCGAACCATCCGCAGTTGCAAGATTTATAAACTTTTTGTTACTGCTGGTGCATTAGTGGCTTTCCAAATAGAGCGATGCATACGTGTCTGTTCCACGCTCCCACACTAGAGACAGAAGTCAGTATTGGCTCTCTTTGCCATGAGGGTTTCAAGGGTGCTAGGTGCTTGCTTTGGTGCTAGACCAAGAAGCCTGGGTCTCCACTGGTGTGAGTCTCAGAAGGAGACTTCTCTATTTCTACTGTTTACTTCTTCAGTGGAAAACTTTAGTTCAGGATTTTGCAGCAGCCCATAGCTTGGTTCATAAGACCTTGCTAACTTTATTGACATTGCTAACTTGTCATTGAATATCAGCATGATTTTGAGGAGGAGCTTCAAACAAACAGCAAGGAAGGAGGAGCTGCTACTGCTTGACTCTAGGCAGCTTAATACATCTTTGCCTGCAATTAGACCAAAAAGGGTCTCCTAAGAACACAGGCTGGCTCCTGACAAAAGACAACCTGGCACGACAGAGCTTGGTTTCTTCTCATGTTGGCCTGATGACAAGCCTCAACGGCAACCACAAAATCACAGAACAGTTGAGGTGGAGAGGGACTTCCATGGGCTGTCTAATCCAAACTTCCTGCTCAGAATAAAGTCAGTTACTGCAGGTTGCCCAGGGCCACGTCCTGTCGGGATTGAAATATCTCCAAAGAGGAAGATTCCAAAACCTCACTCAGCAACTTGCTCCAGTGTTCAACCATCCTCAAGTAGAAAAGCATTTTCTTTTCTTGAGACAAAATTTCTTGCATTTCAGTTTCTACCTGGCTTGCAGGTAACCCTTTATTTGCAGGACAAGGTTGTGAGACAAGACACACCCCAATATGGTTAACAGTCAAGCTCCAACGTTTATTAGAAAAATAAGTCCTTATATATTCTTGTACATTCTAAAAATAACAGCAAATCCGTGTGTTGCTCTAGCGCATGCTCATTTCAAAAACTAGTTCCTCTCAGCACTTTTGATAAGGACTACTAACCGCACGAAGCCAGTAGATAAGTTTGTTTTGTTATTTTAAAGACTCCCTTCTTATCTGCTTCTTCCCTAACAAACACAAATTCTTTTGCTTTTAGCCATCGTTAATCTAGACGCTGTTAGTCTTCTAACACAAGTGTGTCATTAATTTGGACATCGTTAAATCTTCTAACCCAAATGCTGATGATACTTTTACATTGTCAGTGACGCAGAAGGTTCATGACCAGGCATACGCACCCACAATTCCCCCTTTTCTTTTTATTAAGGTCTCTAGGCTATTTACTACACAAGATAGACAACATTTCAACAGAAGAAAAAGACAGCATTCCAATAATCCCGCTACGCATATTATCTTGCAATTGCTAATACTAAATATAAATTGAGAGTGATCAGATTCACACAGCACATACCCTCAAATTCTTCACATCCATGTCCTTGTGCCAGTAGCAAAAATCTATAGTCGCTTTATTCTGCAAAACAGCATGCCTTACACTATCTACATCTGTCAACAAATCACATTATATTAGATGTTAAG